AGGAGAGCTGCTCCAAAGTGAGCTAGCACATACAACAGGGAACTGCAGAGTATCAAAGGAAGGGGACAGGAGAAAACAGAGGACAAATGTAAAGAATTGTATCTGACACAGGGTGAAAGGGATGTAGTTATCTTGTAGTCACAGCATCTAAAAGGTCTTTTTGCAGTTGTATCAGGAACAAATGGAACTGGAGTAGAATGGCAGCCATTGGGAGAGCTTATGTGCAGCAGTTTGTTAGGTATAGCGGAATAAATAAAACATTAAAAGACAGGATGAAAACAAAAGTATGGAAATAATAAGGAGGAAAGAATTGATCAAGGGCAGGAGCCAGAAATGGAGAGAACTGGAAATCTCCCATAGGAGGAGGCTTGTGGTTTTTGTCTGGTCCCTGTGTTTTTGGCCTCATATCAAACCCAATATGATTTGTTGGCATGGAAGCAGCATCATTTGTGAAGGAGGGCACAAATCCCATCTTAAACAGTATTCAGATCTAGTCTTGGAGTATTTTAGCAGCCTCATTTAAAACTATTGTGAGGCTTACCTCACAGGTATAGCATTTGCTTTGTATGCAACAGAGATCTTTTCTGTTCGTTTTCAGCTTCTTGATTCTTTGGGGGTAGGTTTTCTTTTTTCTTTTTTTCTTTTTTTTTTTTTTTTGGTTTTTTTGAGACAGGCTTTGGAGGCTGTCCTGTAGCTCTTGTAGACCAGGCTGGTCTTGAACTCACAGAGATCCGCCTGCTTCTGCCTCCCGAGTACTGGGATTAAAGGCGTGTGCCACCACCACCCGGCTGGGTAGGTTTTTATGTAGCAAAACTAAATGTATTAGTCAATGTTCTCTAGAAGAACAGAACTTATAGAATGAATCTCACTCCCTCTCCTTCATGCATATGTATATATGGAGGATTTATTAGATTAGCTTGCAGGGCAGCTAACCCAACAATGGCTGCCTATGAACAGAAGCTTCAAAAATCCAGTGGCTGTTCAGTCCACAAGGCTGGATGTCTCAGATCGTCTTCATTATATTCCAGAATCCCTATGAAGTAGGTTTTAATACTAGTGAAGGAATGGACTTTCTAATAAGAGAGAGAACAAGCAGATAAAGACATTGTCAATTTCCTTCTTCCATGTTGTTCATATAGGGTGTTAGTAGAAGGTGTGTCCTGGATTAAAGGAATGTCTTTACACCTCTAAGATCCAGATTAGAAATGAATTTCCAACTAAAATGATTTAATTAAGAAAAATATCCCTCATAGGTGTACCCAGCAATTTGGGTTTTAGTTAATTCTAGATATATCCAAGTTGAAAACCAAGACTAGCCATCATACTAAATGGCGTGACCCCTGGTCATCTGCCTCTCTCCTTCCACAGTGGTGAGACTGCATGTGTGAACTAGTGTTCCCAGTGTTGTGTGGGCTTGATGCCTAACTCAGGGCTCCAGAATGCTAAGCAATCACTCTAGTAACTGAGGTACATCCCAGAATTTTGCAGGGAGGGAGAAGCTGAGGATTCTACTGTGTAACTGAATCGTCTTAAATCAGTATATGATCCCAGCATGTATGAAAAACTTGTCTGTCCTGCTGAACCAGACTCTGATATGAAGATACAGAAGCATTCCCCCTCCAACCTACACTATTTTAAATAGGCAAATATGCTTAGCTAGCTCCAATAACTTTTCCATTCTTTTCTTTTTGAGATTATAATTTAATAACAACATTGCTTCCTTCCCTTTCCTCCTTCTAAACCTTCCCCCAAACTCCTCCATGTTCACCAAGTTCATGGCCTCTTTTTAGCTAATTGTTACTGCATGCATATATGTATATGCATATGTATTCATAAATATAATCTGTTCAGTCTGTATAACGCTACTTACATCACAGTGGTCTGAATGAAAATGGCCCTCATAAACTCATGGGGAGTGGTGTTATTAGAGATGTGGCCTTGTTGGAGTAGGTGTGGCCTTGTGGGAGGAAGTATGTCATCAGAGGTGTTGGCTTTGGGTTTCAGAACCCCAAGCCAAGCTTAGTGGCTCATTGTCTCTTCCAGCTCCTTGTGGATCCTGATGTAGAACTCTTAGCTACCTCTCCAGTACCATGTCTGCCTGCATACCATGATAATGGGCTAAACCTCTCTGAACTGTAAGCCAGCCCCAGTTAAATGTTTTTCCTCTTAAGAGTTGCTATGGTCTGCCGGGCATTGGTGGCACACGCCTTTAATCCCAGCACTCAGGAGGCAGAAGCAGGCAGATCTCTGTGAGTTTGAGGCCAGCCTGGTCTCCAGAGTGAGTGCCAGGATAGGCTCCAAAGCTACACAGAGAAACCCCTTCTCGAAAAACAAAAAACAAAACAAAAAAAAACCAAAAAAAAAAAAAAAAGAGTTGCCATGGTCATGATGGTGTCTCTTCACAATAAAACCCTAGCTAAGATATACATGTATGTTGTCAGGGCTGACAGTTTAGGAGAATCTACAACCACTAATATTCTAAACCACCATAATCCCTAATAGCAATTTATAAACATTTGCCTATAAAACCACAGGTAAGTGTAGTCTTCACCCCTCTTTAAGGAAACTTCTCTTTGCAATAGGCAAAGACCACCACAGAAAACCACACGCAGTCAAAATGAAGAGTCGAGGAGCCCAGTCCCAATGGATGCATCCACAAAACACTCCCACACCTAAGGATCAGGTAACATTGCTGAAGAGAGGGTGGGAAGAGTATTGTAAGATCTAGAAAATCCATGAATTTGCTGTGAGATTGCAGTTTGAGAAGCTGTACCCATTAAGTCTCATAAACAGGACTCCACTAATTTGACCGGAATAAGGGTAGCACCAGTGAACATGGCAAACTGGACAGAGAAAAATCCCACCAGGCGGGCTGGAGAGATGGCTCAGAGGTTAAGAGAACTGACTGCTCTTCCAGAGGTCCTGAGTTCAATTCCCAGCAACCACATGGTAGCTCACAACCATCTATAATGAGATCCTGTGCCCTCTTCAGGCGTGCAGGGATACATGCAGACAGAATGTTGTATACATAATAAATAAATCTTTTTAAAAAATCCCACCAGGCCTCAGCCCTACACAAAGAACTGTAGGTAATTGTGGGAAGCTGGGAAGAGAATGGGTGGCCTTCTCCAGGGAAGAGCACAACTGGTTGTCCAGTGCTAAACGGAATATTTTTAAGTGTCCAATCTTTATGACAGATGTATTTATTTTAATTTATATGTATATTTTGCCTGCATATGTTTGTATGCATCACATATATGATTGTTCCCAGGAGTGGGGAAGAAAGAATAGATACACCAGAAGTAGAGTTATACAGAGATGGTTGGGAGTCTTCAATTTGATACTGTAAAGGCAACCTAAGTTCTCTGAAGGAGTAGCAAGTACTCTAAAATGCTAAGCAAACTCTGCAGCCCTTAAGGTGCCCTATTTTGATAAGGGGTACACTCCTGAGGGCGAGGTGATTTGTAGGAAGAAAAGAGAGGATGAGTTGATGCTACAGGTGGACATCATCTAGAAACTGCAACCTACAACTCAGTGTGCGGAGAAGAAGCATCAGAGCTACAAGGTTCAGGATAGAGGGCATAGACCTGAAGCTGGACCCAGGGATGATGAACCAGAAGATGCAGGAGGATCTAATCCCCTCCATAGGGCACTTCATTGCTGAAGTCACTCCATATCTTAAGAAGGCTGGCAGCACATGGAGACTCAGAATGCCAAGTGAGCCTCAGGCACGAAGAACCCAGCTACAGTGTCTCCTTCTTTCTGTGGATGAATTGACCTGAAAAGGGTTCTCATTGCATGGATACCGGATGTATTCTATTTGCTGTGACTAAGGTGTGTTGTGGGACTCCACCTTCATAGCTAAAATATGAAACATTTTAGAAGAACAAAAAGATTCCTGATAGTCACTGTGTAGGTTCTTAGCCTGTGACAGACAACCCCTGATGGAACCATAAGTTCTGTGAACCTCCACACTTTTCTAGAATGTGTTAGTAATCAGGGTCTTTTGTTGAAATGCCATTCTGCTCATAACCACATTACACCCCAGGGATGGTTGTGTCCAAATGTGATAATCAAGTGTCCTTCACAGTTAGTACAGTGTAAGAAGTTAGCAGGCATCACAATGACATGTGAGAAAAGAGGGATTTGGTTTATTAATAAAGACCAATGAAAATACAGAGTAATACAAATTATCTTATTGCTACCTGATACAATGAAATAGCTGGCTTGGCTACTCTCTTAGAAAATAAAGACAAAACTTACAGCCAAACGCTTAACAACCAGATCCCAGGTCAGTCAGGTCTCTAGGCAAGGACTTCGGCTTCCGTCATCTTCAAGGGGTACGCAGCACCTCCTTCCTATCTGAGTATCCTGGGATGTAATCTCCTGTGTTTCTCCAAAATCATCTTCAAAGGAGATCATGTCTACACTGCTACATTCAGTTTAACAATTCTGTACAAATAATCCACTGAGGAGCCGTACCATGGGAAGTTAAGAGGGGAAGGCAATGCCATGAATGACTTCAGTTTATTTTGATGCTGGCAAGCCTTTGGGCCTTAATGTCCTTGATCGTAATACATGCAGTCACAGGACACCTTGACTGTGAACCTAAAACTGAGATTAATGACTGAGGACACAAGGGAAGAATATCCACGTTCCTAGTCTGACCATATGTTTAGAACTGTCACATACTGGCAAGCCAGTGGTGACCCTGTTTTAGAGGCACAGTTAGAAATGTAAAATTGCCTTTCTGATTCCACAAGACAACTATACTGTGCTCCAATTATACTTCAAGTCATGTTAGTCCCTGTGGTGTGCATCCCCTGAACACTCTTGTTTCCAGTGCATCACAGTGTCTGAAGCCATGTGTTCTGGGACCCCATGATGAAAGTCCAACTACTAGACTTTCAATTCTCAGTATCCAGAAGCAATCTTTTCCTATTTATTGCCAACACTGGCAAAGTCTGATCTCCCTGGTATAAACACAGTGCCTACGGCATTCAAGGCAGATGCCTGTAGCAAAGGCTATTTGTCTTAGGCTGCCTTTTGGCAAGAGGTATATCCAGGAGCTCAGGACACAGTTGGGCAAAAACCTCCAGTGGGTCATAGCACTCTAGAGGTGGGGGGTAAAACTCCACAGTCAAGTTGCTTAGATTGGCCACACTCTGCAGAAGCTTCTTCAATACAGCACTGGAGAAGTCTTTGTCACAGAAATTCACAGTCGTGAGCTGTGAGCACTGGCTCAGGGCAGGCAAGAGGGCACTGAGCTCAGAGTCCTCCATCTTGCAGTTCACTAACTCCAGGGTCTGCAAAGTGTCTGCTGTATTCTCAAGGAGAAATCGGAGATGTGTGACACCAAACTTGGAGAACACTACACTACTGAGGTTCAGATGTTTCAGTTGACAGAGCCCCTGTCACTGTGACAAGTTTTTCAAGTCTGATTGGGTGAGATAGCAGAAACTGATGGACAACGAATCCAAGGGAGTCTTCAGGAATCTACGGGGAAAAAAGGAAATTACTTCATGATGTTCAAGGGCAATAAAAAGTTTGACACTGATAGAGAAGGGACCACATATGCAAAGTCAGACTAGCCTCATGCTGAAGGTCACCACTTGGGATACACCCTGTGGTGCCTCTCATGTAATTGTCTCCTGAGGCATGTACATAAGCTGGGATGGTCTCAGATCACACATCCCCAGCTCCACATCCTCATTCTGTCTAACAGACCTAGAGTTTGCCACAGCAGGCCAGGATCTCAAACTCAGAAAGGACCATTACAAAAAGGTTCTGGCAGCATCTTGGCATGTGTCCTGAATAGCTCATCACTGTCCCTCCTACCAGTCACAGCCTCTATCCCTGGTTTCAGTGCTTCAACCTTGAAACTGATAGTCCCTCACCCCAGAATCAACCATTTTCCATCTACTATATCCCAACCTGTGCTCATATTATCCTTCTCTCCAGGGGGACTTAGAGCTGATAAAGGCTCAACCAGAAGAACAAGCTGGCCACTCTTCACAGATCTGAGTACCGAGTTTCTTAGGTTCCTGTACAGGTGTGGGAACTCCCAGATCAGTGCCTGCTAATTTGTCCTGTTCCATTCCCAATAGCACAGCCAGGATCTCCAGAAGGAATATTCAAAGCACACTCACTGTGTCTGACCCCACCCCCACCCCCACCCCCAATGGATCTGCTTTCAAGGCAGTTCCCTCAACATCTCCTACCCAGCTTTGACTAGTAAATGAATGGTCATTGAACCAAGTGACCTCAGTTATGAAGGATACAAGTCAACACATAGACACTGTGATGAGTCCATCACGGCTAAATCCACAGTGGCTGGAACACTCCCTGGGCCCACTAGTGCTTGAAGTAAAGGGAAAAGGCTTGCAGTCACAGTAGAAGCAGCTCTCCGTCATTCCTTACCTCAACAGCTGCTGCATGTGGTGAGGAGAAAAGTAGATGCCATCCATGGAAAGATGCTCTAGTGAGGTGAGTTTGGAGAACTAAGAGAGAAACTGGACAGCACACATCTCTGTGACTGCCAAGGTATTTACAGCCATGTCTCTGTTCAAGAAGATGTGAGTTAGATGGCATTCACGAAGTTCTGTCATATGCCCAAAATGAGATGCAATGTGACCCAGCAAGGGCAGAACATGATTTGTGGATAGCTCCATTTTCTCGATATTATCTGGTGGGAAAATGTCCAAGATCTCCTTGATAATCTCCCCAGGGAAGTCACAAAATTCCATCTTCACGCAGCACAGCAGCACACAGACTTTCCTCTCCTGGGCCCACTGCAACAAGCATGTTTGGTGTTCTTTCAGGTGGAACCTGAGGCTGAGGTCAGTGACCACCTTCACATCCCTCCTCAGTTTACTGCTTACTTGCTCCTGACTTTCAGTCTCTGTTGAGCAGTACAAATTCTTTCTGCTAGGCCATACATCCCAGAAATCCTGGGTCATATTCCTCAGGTCAAGTACTCGAAGCTTCCACCTTCTGTGGAGAAAAAAGGTGAAATTTCATGATGAAAACAGGAAAAAACTCGGAGACAGCCTGTGTCCTACTTCTCTATGTCAGCTCAAACATAGCCCCTCTCACCTGCCAGGCAAGGGCAATCTTTGCCTGAACTTCATCTGGAGACCTTTCTTGTCTCCCTCGATTCAATTACTCTAGACTTGTGTCTCTTTCACACCAAGTGTCTGTAGGAGAGCCAGGGAAAGCTCATTCCACTGTGGCTTCATCTACTCTGAGCTCTCCTCCACTCCTGACTGTCATTGTATGAACTCTCCACATGAATACAAGTGCTACAGACCTCCAACAGGATGATACCAGAAGTTTCTGTCCACTTTGACCCCATTCTCCCTGACCTCACATGTATCTTACCTATAGCCCAGCAACTCCCCTTCTAGTCTACCTGGGCCTTGCTTACCTGGGGCGAACCTTCTGTGCCTGCAGAATATCTACACCACCCAGAACAGCTTGCAACAACTCCACATTGGGTGTCTCCATCAGAGCCCCCACGGGGAGGTAGGAAAAGGGCCAGGCTGCCACCATTGCCTTCAGTAGCTGCATGTGTCTACCAGTGAAGGCCTCCTTGAACACTGGTGGGAAGAGATGAGGGGGCAGGTACTCCAGAGTAGAAATGGTTGAGGCCTCATTCAACAGAAGGCTCTGCACTGCCAGATGTTGGAGTGAAGGTGGGTTGTAGATGCTCATCCTGATAGATCTTCAGTCAGAAGGAACCTGGTGAAGCATTTGGGACACATTATTTTCAACTTATGTTTTGGGAATTCCCACTTCTCACACACTGCAGGTACCAGAGGGTCAGAGTCCTTGGTCTGGCAGTAATGGAGAACTCAGTGTACCTTATTGTATACCATCTGGTGGTGTCAAAGCCAAACTTCCATCAGTCTCAGCATGTGAAGGCTCTTAAAGACCCCACACAGGCACAAATTAATCATTATCCTACCAGGTACCTACCCCTGTTCTTCTGTTTGGAAGTATTCAGGAGCATACAGAATGAGCAGACCTATGTTACAGGAAAAGACACCAACCATCTTTCCAAGAACTCATGAAAATAGTGTTGATGTCACACACCCAATCCACCAATAAGTTGTGCCTTCACCAAAGTGATCCCTCTGGGATGGAGTAAGGAGAATTAGTGAAATGCCTATTAGTACATGCTCCTTCTAAAATGAGACTCGTAGATGAGAAGCCAAGTAAACAGAGGCTACAAGGACAAAGATTTTCCTATGATGCATTGGGAACTACAGGAATAAAAGAGATGAAAAAAGAAAATTTACAAACATTTGAAAGTTTGGTCTATACTTTAAAAGGGTACTAAATTAAGAGAGGATTCTAACTCTTATCCCATAAGGAGCCTAGAAACCTAGACAAAGTCAATGGATCTAGAGTTCAAGACCAGTCTCAGGGCGATGGTGGCACATGTCTTTAATCCCAGCACTTGGGAGACAGAGGCAGTCGGATCTCTTTGATTTCAAAACCAGTTGATCTACAAGAGCTAGTTCTAGGACAGGCTCTAAAGCCACAGAGAAACCCGTTTTGAAAAACAAAACAATGAGAGAGAGAGCCTATTTTAACCCTGTCTCCAAAAGCTCAAATGAGCCAAAGAACATTAAATGTAAATCCCTATGAGTAACTCTTCTCATTAAAACCAAACTACACCAGATGTAAAAATATTAAATTGTATCCTTAGAATTTTAAAGTCATCATCTGGAAATTTAGCTTAGTTGGTATAAGGCTAGACCAACATGCACTAAGCTTCCCAATGGAGGTGAGTGACTTACCTGATATGGACAGGGGTTATAGAGCTCCTATTGCCAGCAGGGCCAAGCAGAGACTCCAGGTCCCAGGATCCTCAGCCCAGTCAATCAGTGACTCCAGCTCCAGGACTATGAGATTCTACCAGGCCTTCTCTTACCTATTTATACACCTTGCAACTCACTCCTCCCCATGAAGCACCACCCCTCTACAAAAAAATCTCCTATCTGAGATGTACAATATGTCTCCACCCACTTTATCCTGGTAAGGATTTTTTTTTTCTACAGCAGATTGGTTGACTCTGACCTATGAAAACAAAAATACTACATTCAATGTCAATATTCCATCTGTGGATAGATTGACTGATTTTTGTATGCATTATCATGCACATGTTTATATATGTGAATATTTAGTGTTTGTGGTTTTAGTGTCTATATGTGTGTTTTATTGTGTCTGGGTATTTGAATGTGTAGTGAGGTTTAGGGTAGCCAAAGGCTAAAAAATTAGTCTCAAAATGACAAATTAAAAACCAAACACAAAACAAAAACACACCACATGAATTTGCTGCAGATGAGGAAGGGCTAAGGTGGGTGTCGGGAACCTTGAGTCCTCCCAAGCAATAAGCTTATTTGGGATAATGACTTGACCAAGCAGGTTAGAATCATCAAGGGTAAGATGGACACCTTAACTCAAAGTGAAAATCAACAACAATGCATGATGAGATGGAAATCAAACAAACAATAAACTTTATTAATACACATGTATCTCCTGCAAGGGGTTCACGCTCTTCATCTTAGCATTTCAGAAGCTGAGGTCAGAGGATTTCTGTGAGTTTCAGGCCAACCTGATCTACAAACTGTAAAACAACAACCTCAAAGTCCAAATGCAAAGCAGAGGTGCTTTTCTTGAAGAAAACAGTAGAAACCAAGTGCCTCAAATGGTCTTTTAGAACAAATATCTTACCTAGCAATCCCAAGAGTGCTCCATAGGTACTTGTTCCTAGTGTGAAGACCTCAGTTTGATGTCTGGAACCCAGAACCGACTCTTGAAGGTTTCCTCTGAACTCCACATGTGCACCATGGCAAATGCCCCCACACCAATAATTAATTGTAAAAAAATTTTTTTGTGTGGTTATATATTATTAATGATTTAATAAAGATTGCCAGAAGAATCAAAATTCAAAGCCAGCCATACTAGTTAGCTGTAGAAGCTGGGCAGAGTTGACACACACCTTTAATTCCTGGACTCAGGAGACAAAGGCAGACAGATCTCTGTGAGTCTAAGGCCACTCAAGCCTACACAAGCTTGTATCAGTCTAAAAGAGACAAAGCTCACACAAAGGTGATCTCAGCAGTTTGGATCATGTTCTTTTAATCCCAGCACTAAGGAGACAACAAAAGCAAAGAGTCTCAGGTGTAAATTTAGTCTCAAGTCACAGTGATGAGAGGCAGCAGTCTGAGGCTTGGAGGAGAGATCCTGGAGACAGGATCAGCCTTCAGCCTCAGGTAGAACAAGAGTTTGTGGCTTGGCTGCTGTGCTTCTCTGGTCTTCAGTTTGAAGCTTGAACCCCAAAAATCTGTCTCTGGATCTCTTATTAATTCTTGTTACATTTTTGAATTTCCTTTCCCAACAGCAGGGAACCACTCTATGACATCCGCTGGGCACATGTGCATGACTGTCACCTCTGAAGTCACTGGGAGAGGGCTGTAGTATCAGGAGTTTTAAGTCACCTTTGCCCATGAGCAGCTTCTAACCCAGTGTGAAAAGCACCAGGTCCTCTAGTGATGAAAGGAAGGAAGGAGAGAGGGAAGGAAGGAGCAATTGTTACATCAAGACTCCTTGAGGGAAAAATTAGGAAAAATGGTTCAATTAGAAATCAAATGAAGTTGAGAATGTTGGTGCACACCTTCAATCCCAGCCTTTAATCTCAGCACTTGAGAGCCAGAGGCAAGCAATTCTCTGAGGTCAAGGCCATTCTCAGCTACATAGTTCCAGGAGAGCCAAAGCTACATAATAAGACCCTGACTCAAAATATCAAAAAAAGGAAAATAACAGACAAACAGCAAGAAAGAAAGGAAGAAAGAAAGAAAGAAAGATGGATGAATGGATGAAGAAAGAACAAAAAGTAAAGAATCAAATAAAATTCTGAATCTGGGATGTGTTCTCTTCCATTTGTGTCTTGGATATCAATGTCACCTCACCATGCTTACCTTGTGACTTTACATGCTGAGTCATCTTGTTGGCCCATCCAGTTTTTTGTTGTTTTTGTTGTTGTTTTTTTTTTTTTTTTTGGTTTGTTGAACACGGTTTCTCTGTGTAGCTTTGGAGCCTATCCTGGCGCTCACTCTGGAGACCAGGCTGGCCTCGAACTCTCAGATATCCGCCTGCCTCTGCCTCCCGAGTGCTGGGATTAAAGGCGTGGGCCACCAACGCCCAGCTCCATCCAGTTTTTTTTTTTAAGAATCAGTTAAGCAGTTCATGAATTAGGTACTGACATCATTTCCACTCCATATTCTCTCTTCTCCAAATTCTCTCTTATCCCCCCTTGCCTACGCAATTTCATGACCTATTCCTTAGTCATCTGTGTGTGTGTGTGTCTGTCTGTCTGCCTGTTTGTCTCTCTCTCTCTCTCTCTCTCTCTCTCTCTCTCTCTCTCTCTCACACACACACACACACACACACAAAATACATCCTGCCAAGCTCCTTCAGCGTTGCTCGTATACAGGAGTTTAGGGAAGATCACCAGGTGGATAAGGATAGCAATCAGGGAGCTGGTCCCAGATAACTGATTCTCCTCCCTCTTTTGGCAACTCTTTAATCCCTGTATTTCTTCCTCTTGGCTGAGACCTTCTGAGATTTTCCCATCCAGGTTGTGTTGGCTGCTGGTCTTGCTACTGTGCAAGTCTTGTTTAGGTGAACAAATTGTTACAGTTGTGTGCAGCTCTCTGTCATCTAGAGAAGACACTACCTCACATTAGACATCACAGTCTTCTGGCTCTTAGAGTCTTTCTGCCCTCTCTTCCTGCATGTTCCCTGAACCTTAGGTGTAGGTCAGTTTTCTAGATGTATTAACTGGGGATGGGAACCTCACTGTTATTTCCTCTTTCCTTTTTCATCATTATGGATTTCTGTGATGGACTCCATCTACTTCAAACAAACAAACAAAAATCTTTTTTGATATGGACATGTTAAGAGCTACACTCATCTATGGATACAAGGATGGGTTCTTAGAAAACAGGTGGTCTTATACTGGAGTAGAACAGTAGTGGGTTCTCCTAGGGTCCATATCCTCACCAGCCACAGGGAGTTGCCTAACTTTCTAGTAGCAGGCATAAATTCAACTCCATTGAGAAGACAAGAAGTCCAATTAGGTAGCTGTCAATCACCCCTTAAATATGTCATTATTGCACCCTTGGCTCTATCTTGACATATCTTGTCTTGGATAGTGGTTCATAGGCTTCACAGCCTTGTAGGACTTTTAATTGCATTTTCCCCCAGCAGCGTGAATACCACCTTTGTACATAGGACTTGCAGATAAGTTCCAGCTTCATTCCTAACAGTCCTTTGTCCAAAGTATGTGGTGCCTACAGCAGTTAGTCTTGCTCCCACGTTCTGCGACACAACTGAGGGCAATGGCAATGGCTCCTGTGGTATGGACTGCTTTAACATTACATGCATTATATGAATATAGGCAAACATTCATACTCAAAAAATAAAAAGAAATGAATCTCTGTGCATGGTGGCACACACCTTTAATCCCAGCACTCTTGTGGCAGAGGCAGGCAGATCTCTGTGAGTTCTGGGCCAGCCTGGTCTACAGAGCAAGTGCCAGGATAGGCTCCAAAGCTACACAGAGAAAACCTGTATTGAAAAAAAAAAAGGAATGAATCTTTATAAACACCTGGAAATGAGGATGGTTTAACTTCTTTTTCTAT